CGCGCCTCTCGCTGGCTTCAGAGGGGCGGCCGCAACGAACCGGCCCTTCAGAAATCCCCTTGCCGGGGAGCCGGGGTCTGACAGCCGGGAAGGGTGGCTCCGCGCTCCGGAGGCTGACCTCCGTCCCTGGGAGCCGCGGGGAGGAAAGGAGCAATTTCTGGTTGATGCTTGGAGACCGTTCAGCTTTTCTTCGGCTAGGTCTAAAGCTTTTAAACAGGCACAGGGAGTCCGTGTTGTGTGAGATTGTATGTGGTTCTTGATGAGTTGGGGTTTTTGCGGGAGTGTCTCTTAAAGGGAATAAAATCTTGTGAAGGGGTTTAGTATCTGCAGGGCTTGGAATAAACCTGACATGCGCCTGCCCTGCCCGCGTATTTTATCTGCCACGATTTTCTGATCCTTTCCTAAAATATATGGGGGGGAGGGGAGAGAGTCGTTTTAGTCAGCAGAAAAGCGTTACTTGTGGCACAGTGGGGTTTTTGTTTAATGTTTTCTTTTTTTACAAAAAGCGTATTGCTGGCAACTAAGCTCTGTAGTCAAGGTTCTGTGCTAAAGTTATGTAAATGTGAAAAAAAAAAATAGTCAAATAGTATCAGTCCGTGTAATATTTAAATTGGTGTGTGGTTTTTGACTAGTAGGTTGGTTATCTATCTTGCATATCATAATATTTGTGCTCCTTTGAATTTTTAAAGAGTCTAGTAAGATGGAGATACTCCTTAAGCTTTTGATACAGTCTCAAATGCTTGCTCTCTGTGGTGTTTGTGGATGACTGGTAGTTGTTAGAAAGGGCAGTGTTGAAGGAAAAGTGTATTGGATGGCTGAATTCACTTGTCTGAAAAGATGGAAAGAATGGTGATTCTGATTTTCACTCTCTTACCAAACAGAGATGATTACTTAGCAAGTTTGACAGAGTATATGACACTTCTGGTGTATAGTCAGTTGACAGTCTAGTGAGTCCAATCAAAGTTCCCTGCTTCTTGATGAACAGAAAAGACTTCAAGAGTTTCCCAAATACTGTTTAGCAGAATGGGGTTCTGTATGCTTCTGTGTATCATTGTATGACTCCTGAATAAATCTACTTGCTTTTTTTTTTTCTTGGAATTGACCATCCAAGAAATGAAAAAGATAATAGGAACTAACATAGTCTTCTGGCTTGTGGAAGCTACCCAAGATAGCTGAAGGCAAGTGGATGTATGACTCATGAGCTGGCAGGATATGGGACCTCACTTAGATCAATTGACAATTTCTAGCATGCATTTGCACTCTGAAATGCAGAGTGCCTGATAGGATGCTTCCTTAGAGCTTCTGCATGCTGATTGTTACTTGACTGAAACTAAGCATGTGTATAATCAATACACTTGATTCTCTTCCCGTGTACACAACTTTTACATCAGGGTAGCCCTATTGATTTCAGTGATTTTGTTCTTTATAAGCATGACCGTGCAAGCTCAGTGGGAATGATATCCACTTGTAATTTACTGGAGATTGAATTGCATTGCTACATTCAATTCAGTTATATCCATGATGCAGAAGGATGCAGAATACCTATTCTGACTTGACTTCTAATACCAAAAAAGCACCCAAAGGCAAAAATCACAAAATATATAAGTGAAAGAAAAGTATTGAAGTTTGGCCTCCCTTCCCTGCGTGCATGTGTGCACACACCCCCCCCCCTCGCACTGTCCAGCTTCAAACAGCCTTTGGTAATAACCTGCTCAGTTAAGAGTGCTGTGAAGTTTTACTGAGCCTATTGGATAGGCTTTCATGCCTCTTACACAGCTTATTGAATGTTACAGAAGTGGTCAAATGCTGAGGCTTCATTGTCCGTTTTCTGCAATTATAGAGGGGGAATGGTTGCCGGAAAAATTCCCAAGAAGCAAAACTGGAAAAAAACCCCAAACCCCAGAACGATCTACTGGCTTGCGAAAGGGCACTTGTACTGAAGTTTCCCTGCAGAATTGAGGATACTTTATTTTGAACAAAGATAGTTTTGCCTCTGTATTTTGACATAATTAAAGACTTGCATGCACACTGATGTAATTGACTGGTTTAAATGCTTAGTAAAAAGTTTATCAAAAGATGAATAGTAAATAAGGCCATGCATCAGGATAAAACAATGAGTCCTATATTGCTGTTCATGGGTATTTGAATTTGGAACAAGGGCACTTTGCTCACCACAGTGTGGGAAGGCAATGTGAATTAATTCCTTGTTACTGTTTTCTAGTGCTGCTATATTGGCTTGCACACGGGTGGTACCAAATTTAGCCAATCATAAATCTTTGTCCATGTAGGCTCCATATAATGTGTCTGGTAGCACCTCTTGATATGTGTAGAAATAATCTGTGAAATATATAGCAATGTGATCAAACAGGACTACTCAATCCTTGTCTTGTTATGTGGTTACTTAGAAATTGCAGTACTGTTGTTGGCAACCATTTAGACTTACCATAACTTCTCTTATCACCTTGGTATCTATGGTGATATCAAACTTGTGACCCATGATTACTTTAATTAAAGTGTTTAGTTTGAAACAGGAATGCTTTGTTCTAGTTCACATTAGCTTTCCAGGTCTTCAGAATGGAATTACTTGTCTTTCTTCACATGTGAAAATAAGAACTGAACAAAGGCATTCTATTTTCTGAAAGGGCTGAAGAGGTGTGTATGGTGGATACTTTAATCATGTTCCTGTAGTGTGTTTTCTCTATACTGTCTAATATCTATCCTCATTATTTTTGTTGGGGTATCTTGTAATGATTTAGAAAATTGTATATAGTTAATGCGGCTCTCAAAGTGAGACACCCCAATTTGTACTAGGAAAATTATTCTTACGAAGTGGAATTTATTTATGCCTTTGCTAGATTAAACTTGAATCATCCTCTTTAGCGACTGTCTCCAGGTTGGGTACACAGTAGTGATGGGGGAAGGATAGTTAGAAATCACTTTGTCAGATTGCGCTTGCAAAACTGATTCTTAGATGCAGGAGCATTTGGGAAGGTGGTGCTGAAATGCTGGCTTCACCAAATGCTGGAATTTCAAGCAGCTGGGGCTTAATTTTGAAGGGGAAAAATGTGTTAGTGTAACTACATCTGCTTCTAGGTAATGACTCTTGACTCTGTTCAGCCTTCAAACCTGAAATAGGTGTTGGCTTAAACTTATTATTGCTAGTCTAGATAGTCTGCAAGCTTTGGGCTGAAATAGCATGAACTAAATATTGCCCACCAACGTTAAACTGCTCAAATATCCTCCTCCTAGATGGGAAAGACAAAGATGCAGAAGTTTTGTGTATGGTTTGAAAATTATTTTTGATAATCTAGGAAGCCTGTGCTGTGGACCCATATTTGGAAACTCTGGGGGTTCATGTTGGGTTTCTAGAAGGTTCTTCAAAACCTCTTTAAATAATTTCTAAAAAAAATCAGAAGGGGGTTAACTTTATCAGATTGCAGTCATGAGAAAAAAGAATTATCTTCTGTCTGACCACTTGTCTTACATAGTATAAATGATAGGCGAGTCATTTAGTTCAGTTGTGGGTCTATATCAAGGACAGCCAAAATTCTTTGTGATGACAGATAGGTAATGAGCTTCTTATGAAATTTTTTCATAATGGAGGCAGAAAATGATTGGTTCCTTTAAAATATTAAGATGATAATCTGTTTCTGACTTGGATTAAGACAATGATACAGGCTTTTGGTATCCATAAACATTGAGTCTGCCCAGACATTTTTGCCAGTGAACCTTAGAGGATAAGGTAGATATTTTGCTACAGCTAAACCTGGCTTTAGTTTTGAAAATGAAATACATGAATGTGGTTTATCACTTAAAATATGTCAATTAAGTTGCCTCTTGCCTTTAGCCCACCTTCAAACTAGAATCCTCTAACTTGCTGTTGGATGTTTTCCTGAGAAGTCCATGTCACTTGTATGCTGATGATTCAGAAGGTCAGAGCGCTTTGGCACAGTGTCTCACAAATGTTTAAGTCAGGTGATGACTACTGATGTATGCAGTGGTTTTGTCAGTTGGGCTCTTGGCGGTGTGAAGTAAGAGGTGGGTGACATGGGGAAAGAAGAACCTGTTCTCCATCTGTGTGCAGGGCACATCAGAGGGAAAGTAACCTAGCAGCCAATTAGGTTAAAAAATGACATACTGTGCAAAATGGAATTTAACATTCAGAAGTGTCTGCTAACTAACTGTATTAACAAGCTAATTATGGTTCTTTGCTTCCAAACATGACCAATGAACTAATTCGCCTGAGGAGATTGCAATGTGGTAGCAATAACCAAGCTGTTACCACAGTGCCTTGGTACTGCAGTTGCCGAATACCTCCTTTATCACGTAATTATGTTTCAGCTGTTCCTACAAAAAAATGTGTTTAACCATGTGATCGTAAAAAAGAAAATTTAAGCTTAAATGTTGTTCATTCTTTTAGTTGTTAAGCAGAATATCTTTTAATTTGGTACCTTGGGGAGTAAGCTATAGGATTAGGTCTCATTGCTTTGCTGCCAAGTATACATTCTGAGTTCCCTTTTACACCCATTATTTTCCACAGGGGAGAACTGATGGAATAACAATGTGTCCTTCCTGCTCTGTAATCGAGGAGGAGGATGGCCCAGAGAATTAGTGATCTAGAGGTGGAGTATGATGGCTAAAATAAAGAGTAACTGAGGCAGAAATACTGGTGGGGCTTCTTGGGTTGAGAGTTAAGGGGGTCATAAAGCTGGGGAGTTCCAGAGATGTCAGCTAGAGCTAGCTTCTATTCTAGAAATGTATGAAATAATGGGGTTCTGAGGTGGGTAGATTGTGGAATGGAAGGGCTGCAAGAGGTGGAGAAAGTGTGGTAATAAGAGCAAAAGGTAACCAGCAAAATCTTGGGAGATATATTCTACTATGTTTTGTCATTGATCCATTATGTGGAATCGGCAGTTACTAGTTTTATCCCAGTAATCTTTTTCCTACTTCAGCTGGGATTTGGGCTTGGTGCTCTTGAAACTTTGGTTATTTCACCAGTAGAAATAATGTTTTAAGTGGCAGTCAAAAGATACGGCGGGCTAAAATGCTGAACTTTCACTGATCTTAGTGCAAAAAAAATGTTGTTTGACATAACTTGCTTTGAAGTGGGTAAGTGAATCCCATTCGAGATGTGTATTGCTTGTATATAGGGCATGAGAGAAGTGCAGATGGAAGGATACTCAACATGAAGATTTGTTCGGGTATGTCCTAAACAGGTACATAGAACCACCCAATTTAGGCTAAGTATCTATCTTAATGTAATTGGACATAGAAGGATGTTGGGGGGTATCTGTGGTGTCTCTAACAAATCTGTATTTTACAACTTTATCAGATAGATTAATATTGGACATAGCTATTGCAGTGACTGGAAGTGCATGGTTTTTTGAATATAAAGTGATTAAGTAATTGACATGCATTCAGATCTTCAATATCTTTCAGAAGGTGGAACTAAAATCATGTTCCAATTTCCTTACAGAAACCTGCATTAGATCTGTAAGAATAGTGCTAAATACACACTTAAGCAGAACACGTTATATTTGAGTCTGCTGTACTCTCAAGTGGTTTTAAGGGAGAAAGCAAAGCAGATCAGAAAGTATATAGCAGTTAATGTCCTTTTCCTGACTGGCTCCATGGCTCTGTCTGTATTTAGCTTGCATGGGTGGCATCCAGATTAGCTTCGCATGGGCATAAACTGCATGGAGTTACTACACCTTATTTGGACTGTACTTCTGCAGAGGTGTCACTAGAATTTCAGGGTTGCGTCTCTGTTTTACTTTGCTTTGGATGCAGTATTTTTGATTCTCTCTTCATGAGAAGAAAAAGGGGAAATAGTTTGGATGTAGTGGGCACCAGGACGTGCTTGAAGGTAGAAAATGTCGAGCAGTCAACTTGCCCTGTTTGCAGTGAGAATATTGGTTAACTTGTCAGCCCGAGTGAGAGTTTGCTTGGACTTTAGCCTCCAAACTTTGAGCTGCCCAGGCCAGGTTGGTAGGGCATCACAAATAAACTTGTGATAAATTTGTGCATAGAGGACATTGGTAAAGTTCTTCCAAAGAACTCTGCGGGGGTTTTTTGTGTGGTGTTTTTGTTTTGTTTTCCCAATGAGTTGATAATGTTACAGGATTGTCTGGATACTGAAGAGCTACTGAAGTCTGTCTGCTGCTACTTTTGAAAAAGGTTTGACTTTGATGTGAACCAGGTATTCTATCTTGAAGGACTTTAGTTAGCCTGTCATAATGCTTCAGTGTAAGTGTTTTGTATGTTGTTGCTTTAGTCTGTTTTGGTTTAGATTAGTTTTTAAAACTGCAAGTATATGCTGCTGTAGAGATAGAGTTTTTTGATATAGGAAAATTTTATTTTTTTTTATTTTCACATAACTGTCAATATATTAAGGGATACTTTCTTTTATTTTCTACTGCATCAAAGCAGTATGCTCGTAGGTTTTCATGTTTTATTCCAATAGCCTGTGGAATTGACTTCTGTTGGCAGGCTTTTGGGAAGGCACTGAAGGCTGGCTTTCTTTCAGTTTGGACTTCAAATAGCAAGAAAGCATTGTGGAATAGTGAGCCTCTGCGCTAGGGGAGGAAAGAAGATCTTATGGAATGTATACAAAATTTCCCTGTTGACTCATGCATCTGATCTGAGGCAGGAAATGAAATCTTGTTTCTGTCATGAATGTCATCGAACAGTCAAACTGGAAGTGCTGGGTAGCTGTTGAAATGGCTACATTGAAGGCAGCTGATCTCATTCTAGTCTGCAGTGTGGAGAAGGTGTTGCTTTTAGCTTTCCAGAAGCTTTGTGCTCTTCTAAGCTCCATAATGTCTTTTCTGTCTGTGTAGGCATTGCTAAATACCTTTTCTCAAGCTTCTGTTTTGAAGAACAAATTGTTGCCAAATTGGAGGTTTAATGACTTGAACTTGTAACTCCTGCATGTGCTGTAAAACTTACCATATAATCCTTGCTTAAGGTAAATTCAGTTGCTTTTTTCAAAGCACTGGTAAAGACTGAAAGGTAGTGTGGTGAGTGGAAATTAAAAATAGATGAGATTAGAATTAAAAAACCTGTCCAAATAGTCTATTCTGTAGTTTATTCCCAGTTTAATGCTGCAGGTAGTATTTTCTTATTAACACTCCTGTCTTTGCAGTGTTGGAGTCTATTTTCCTCTTTCACCATGGAACATATACATGAACTGCTATTTGATCTGGTAGATCAGATTAAACCCCAAACTAGCAGTAACATTTCTAGAAATAGCTCAGTGACAAACATTAAAAGCAGGCATTACAAATTGAATTGAAATTTGTCCTTAGTATATTTCTTTTATTTGCATATGTCTTGTTCTCTCCTTCCTAACCTAAGTTACTGAGTAATGAACAATGTTATTTCTTGTGTTTCTGTTTAGGGAAAAAAAAACCCACAAAAAAACCCCACCACAGTGCCTCATTTGTTTTCTGCCTTATGTTTTGTTTCCTTTTCTTTTTTTTTTTTTTTTTTTTTACTTGGGGAAATACTATTTCTGTCCTACCACCTTATATTTCCATTCCTTAAACGCTACCTGTAAAATAAAATTGCCTGTTATTTTTGTAAATACGTTGACTTTGCAAGCCCTTTATGTGTAAAGTGATTTGCAGAATCTGCTCTCCATACACAGGATAGGAGAAGTAGTGTAGTTTATTAACATTTAGCTGAGTAGTTACACCCATGTATACATCTGTCGTCCTGAGTGTATTTGAGGGTGGAAAACAGGATTGGTGCTGGTGTGAGCTCTGCACTGAGGAACATAAGTGGATGTTTCTGTTCTCTCTTCTTTGTGCATCTCTGGTTTCTGTTATAAAATAGCCAGAGGAGAGAGAAAACATTGTGTCTTGGAATATTCTAAGGTCTGAATGTGAGTAGACAGTGACAGCAGATCTTCCACCTGATCTCACTGCAGTCCTGGAGCACAAACCCATAGGAGGAGCTCCAGAGCACATAAAAGAGCAGTATCTTAACTGGCGTGCAGATCAAAGCTCTGAATGATCCCTATCTGCTGTTTACATAGTAGAGTGGGAAAGAGCTTAGGCTGGCCTCTGCCAGGGAAAGAAGAAGCCCCCTTGGGAGGGAGACACGCTGTTTAGTTTCTTGCTTTCTTTCAGACCTGTCTGCAAGTGTTGAAAAACTTTAATTTTACGGGCAGATGCTGAAGCCCATTAGCAGTTACTTTTAAATTTCTTGTCCCTCTGTGACACTTCTGTTGGAGGTCAAGGACATCTGAAGACTCTGAAGTAAAGATCAGTAGTCCTAACATCTTAGGGTAAGTATCCACCACTCCTCTGATAGGCTTGCTTGGTTAGTGACTGCTGTTGAGGTCCAGAGTGGGTATGGTGGAGGTTAGTCTTGAAGAGGTTAAGGGAATTAAATATTTAGGCATTGTTTCAGGAAAAGTGTGTTATCTTTCAAATGCAGCCAACATTCATGGGGTTGTTCCACTTATTTCCTTACTTGTTTGTAAGTAGATACGTGACTTCTGCTTTTTTTGTCTCGCCCGCTGTGTTCTTTCTGTGTTCTTCATGCTGTAACTGTATGGATGTCTTTTTGCTCTTTACAATTAGCGTGGAAATCTGGAAGTGCAGTGTATTACTCTAAGTGTGCAGCAATAGTGAATTTGTATTGAGATGCAGCCTAATAGCTCACATACTGTTTTGATCTTTAGCATGTATTAAATTCAGTGTTTTATGTATTTCAGATGATAAAAAAGATATTGACCATGAAACAGTGGTGGAAGAGCAGATCATTGGAGAGAATTCTCCTCCTGATTACTCAGAGTACATGACAGGGAAGAAACTTCCTCCTGGTGGAATACCTGGCATTGACCTCTCAGACCCCAAACAACTGGCTGAATTTGCTAGGTAAGTAAGAAGAAAGGATCTTTAAAATAGTTTTCTTTTCACTGGTTTAATTATGAAACTGTTAGGCAAAATAAATAGTAGGTTTATTATGGCTTATTATTTCATTTAATCATCTTCTGAAACAAGGGACTTCATTCAGAGCAGAGTAGCTGATACTGTGTTAAAATAACTGGATTTTATATTCAGCAGTGACTTCTTCAATGACTTCTGGTCTTTAGTTCTTGGGTAAGACTTAAACACATGGATAGACTGTGTCTTTGATGTGACAGAATGTATCTTTCATGTGAATAGTCTTAGATTCTTCAGCACCAAAGGATCTGACAAGTGAAATGCTGCAATTCAGGTTCAGTACAAGAAAGCTAGACTACAATATTTAGTTTGTAAAGCCACTTACTGTTCTTTTTCACCTGCTTCTTACTTCTTAAACTCTAAGTCTTAAACTTCTTTTTAACGGAGCCATGTGTCTTGCACTTTCAAGTGCCACTGATAATTGCAGTTTCACAATTAGTAACTATAACTGCTTGGATTTTCCTCTAGTGAATCAGAATTGTCACTCATTTACATATCAATACATTGACCTGAGTTACAAGTTCAGACTGGACATTAGAAAAAATTTCGCTGAGAGGGTTGTCAGGCATTGGAACAGGCTGCCCAGGGGTGTGGTTGAGTTGCCGTCCTTTGAGGTCTTTAGCGTAGGTGTGGTGCTTAGGGGCATGGTTTGGTGGTGGACTTGGCAGTGTTAGGTTAACTGTTGGACCTTAGGATCTTAAAGGTCTTTTCCAACCTAAACGATTCTATGATTCTACAAGGTGACTTTTACTTTCAGATAGAGGTGAAGTGACAGAAGCTCTGTTCTACGAGGGAATGCTGGAAGTGTCATGTGTCTCTTCCTCCCCCCTCTCCTCTGCAAGCCCCGGCTCTGGTACCGAGTGCTCGAGGCAGCCGGTGGCCACCAGAGGGCAACCGTGAGGTGACCAGAGAAGTCTGCTTTGGCACCTGGAAGCTGTGACTTCAGGGTTGCCTTTGCAGCATTTACTTGGCCCCCTTCTTTGTGGGCATGTGCTTGTAACTATGAAAGGCATGCTCCTTCAGTCACTGTATGGGCAGTGTTAGTGCTGGTGTCTCCAAATATTTGAGCACAACTGTTAGCTTTCTGAGGCTGCTATCATCAGTTTTTTCCATGTTGAAAGCAAAACTTATGTATGAAGCTACACTCATTTTCATTTTGTTACCAGCTGGGTATTTTTCAGAGCTCCGGTGCACAATTCTGACATTCAGAGCAGGTGGATGATCAGGTGTTGTTACTCTTACTTCCTGGGTCTAGAGGGAGAAACAGGCTTCCCCCCCCCACCCCGGGGTTTTCAGCTAGTTGCTAGGTGGCAGGGACTGTTGAGACAAGTTCTGGTGTGGCAGCGTGGTTCGGTGTATCTTGGTATCCAGTGCGTGCATCTACTCTTGTTTCACCTCTTTGTTCTTGCTGCTTTTTACAAGCTAGTTCTGTAACTCTTCAGTGTGTTTGTACCAGAGGATTGCCAGCACAGCCTTGTCCCACGATTATTTTCAGTAAAACTGTTGGACTGTGCATTTTTGAAGGCTTCTAGTAAAATAGTTTTTCAGGGCTTGCTCTCTGCTTCAGGCTATCTGATCTGGAGATGTGTAAGAACACATCGTGAACAACTGAAAATGGGGTTTTGTCTAAAGTGGTGGGTGGTTCCAGCTATTGATATTGTTGTTACTTGGTTTACTATGGTTGATCAAAATGATTGTGTTTTCCTCCAAGACCTGCTGAAAGGTTAATGCAATTTTTTGTGAAAGCAAATATTTAAGTAATGCCCTGAGTGTACATAGCATTCTAATTCTAAAATGTTACTTACACATCTCTGCTCATCATGTGCTGAGAATGGTATTCTCAGTTATTTTAAAACATGCTGAAACCTTTGGTTCTATTAAACATCTAAGTACTTTTGTTAGGAAGTATAAATAGTTTCTCATAGGGTATTCTCAATGCAAATACTGAATATTTTTCTCCAGATTGGTTTGAATGCTTGAAATGGTTGACAGGATTTGGGCTTCTTGAAATGACCAGATTGCTTCTATCAGATCTGTCTGCATATTTCTTAATATTGTAAAGTGTACTGCATCTTTGGGTTTTAGTTAGTTTTCTGTTGAGAAAATAGTGGCAGCTGGCAGTAATTTAAAATTACCACTTTTTCTGACTCATAGTAGAATGTTCTAGGAAGTTCTAAAGCTAGAATTTGTAGCAGATGATGGAAAGATTGAGTTCTATGTGTACAGTCTCTTTTCTGTTAATATATTTCTGTACAGCAGATAAAAGGTAATCCACTTCAGTCATAAGACAAATATATGATGGTAGAGTAAGCAACTTGGGGGGACATCACCTTTAGCAATATCCCTAAGTTGCCCAAAACTTATGAAAAATTGTAAGAATTGTTCCGATAGCTTAATTGTAGATATGCGAAAACTTCAAGCATCTTCTGTTTTAAGAAAGGTTTTTTTATTTCTGGGTCAGAGTCGATGACTTGTCAAACTTTTACCTTAAAAAAAAAAATGAAAAAGATAACTGCGTTAGTTGTATGTTAGATCTTAAATGATTATGTATAGCTGAGGCTGAAGAATATGGGTGTATTATAATTTGAATATTGCTTGTTAAGGTCTTGGTCCTCTTGCAGTGAAGCATGTTGAAGGGAGTCCTTTTAGCTAATAACATGAATTCAAGCACTATTTTTTATGCTGATCAGTTGTCTTGTTGATCTAGATTGCTGTGTGCAGTACCACTAGAAACCTTGCATGGCAACCTGGAAGAAAAAACTGAGTTTACATGTACTGGAATTGGGTTTGGAGGTTCTAGGAATACAGTTGTTCATGCTAAAAGAATGTGTTTATTTAGTGTAAAGTTCTCTGAAAGTTTCAAGCATTGCTGGTTGCTTTACAATCCAGAATTTTGAAATTCTCAGTAGTGGTAGTCTGAAAAAGTTGAGCAGCACCTGAAGTTGAAACTGTTACTTTTAAACTTACTAAGTAGCTTCACGTGCTCTGCATAAGGTTTTGAGTAACAAATTTGTATTTTGACCACTTGAAAAAAGAATTATGCACAGTCCACATACAAGGAAGCATAAACTGGCTACTGAAATTGTATGTTAAGTGTATTTTGTGCAGTTGAGAGCAAGTTATTTTGGGTTGCTTTCCTGTTTTCATTAAGGTGGTTGGAAGAATCTCACTATGCATTTGTAGAAATTAGCTACTCAAAACCAGGCTAGATTCACTGTTTATAACCACGCAGCTTATTTTGATTAAACATAAATTGACCCAGACATTTGCATCAATTGTTAGGAGCAAAGTTCTGATGTTAAGTTTAAATGGGCAAAGCTTGAATTCTGGTGAAAACAGATCTCAGGCAAGATTCTGGAATTCTGATCGTGGTCTGGTTAGTGAGAGGCAAGGCAGGGGTGGACTTGATGTTTGAAGTCCTCTGTGGCTCTGCAGTCTTTTTAAAAAAAAAAAAAAATTTTTTAGTAATTCAGCATCTGCAATGGCCACCACTGCTGCTCAGCAGCTAGGTGGCACTAGCAGAGTGAGCAGTTACACTGTCTCATGTGATACAATTTTCTTTTGCTGCTTTTTTTAGTGCATTTGTCTTTGAGTCATGTGGCAGGAATCCAGATCCTTTAACTGGAACTGTTATAGCTATTCCTGGAAGGGCTTTTATACATTCTAAAACTATTGAAAACACTGTGAATAAACAAGCTGTGTCAGAACATTAAGACATGTTCAGTAATGCATAGATAAATGACCATAAATTATACCTGGTTGGGCAATTTATTGCCTATTACAAATGATTTCATTCTGTTGTAGGACTTATGCATTTTCTCTAGTATACTTTAAAAATGCAATAAAAAAGAGGAAAGAAATGTGGATTTCTCTTACACAATCATAGCAGAATGTGGAAACATTAGTTGTGAATGATCTGCTAGGAAAGAAATCAAACCTAATAAATTACCGTGTTCCCATTGATACCTTTGACCTGGGACACTGGAAATCCCTTGAAGTGAAATAAGATATTTCATACAAGTCTAAATTGATTACAAGTAATTCTGTAGTTAGCTGCAAAGAAGTCGTAACTGCTTGGAAATAAAAGCTTTGGGAAATAGCAGACATATTTCTACTTGGTGCGTATGGCAAATTTATCTCAAACAAAGCCACTAAAAAGGATATCCCCAATTCCCTCTGTCTGCCTCTTACCCTCCAGACAGAGACATGACCGAACTGGCTAAAGATAGCAGAATACAGACATTGGTAAAATGAAGAAAGAGGGGACGATGCTATAGCTGGGGAATGGGCATGGTAATGGGTCCTAGTGGTAAAAACTTTACTCTCTGTGGCTTTATCTTTTGCTCTTCTTAGTACCTTTTCGGAAGGAGAGCCATTGTGAAGACTGCCATTCCTTTCTATCCACTTTCCAAAATGGATAGGAAACAAAGGAGAGGAAACAGCATTAGAGTTTGAAATTGGACACCCTTCTTAAAAGTGACAAAGCATTCCATTCTGGTCATCTAGATTTATGACTTAGGCCCCTTTATAAGGTGTACACTTTTGTACTGGTTTGGTTCTTGTTACAGAGAAGCTTAAAGGGCAGTAAACTGACAATTGCTTTACCCAAAGTACTCTTCTGTGGGAGGGGAAAATCTCTTGCTCTCTACCACACTGCAAAAGTTACTCTGTTTCCACATATGATATTCTTCATAACTGGAACAAAAATAATAATTATTTTTGCCAGAATCTTGGAGTGAAAGAGACCTTTTAATGACATTTTCCTACCTAACTGTGACCGAAGCATGGTAAGACACAGGCTGTGGGCTCTTTGGTTGTAGATAAGTTCCTAGGACACCTTGTACCACTCCCCTTTTGTCTATTTATCCAAAAGCCAGTCTAGCTAGTTTCAGGAGTTCTTCAGCACAAAGGAATTCTTGTGGCCGTGTAGG